ATCGAACAGAGGGTCGATGGGTCTGAATGTGTTTGCGGGACGACTGAAGAGTCTGTAGCTTGGGCCATCTCTCGCGAAGGTGAGGGTGAATCCACCATCGCGACCCTAGTAGGAACAACTACTATCCCTACTGGCCCGACATGTTTCCCGGAGCACTGCTTGAAGAACTAGCAACGTTGCTACCAACGGTTTGAGAGGATCCTACTGCCGACCCGATAGTGGGCGGGATCTTCTCGGTGACCTTCCTATTGCAGCACTTGTACATGCTATGGCCATATTGGCCAGACTTGATACAAGCTTGCCGTGCCCACCGATCTCTCCACACGTCCTCAGCTAGACCCGCTTTCTCCCATGGAGGAGCATTGGGGTCTGTTTGACTCTTTGACCGGGATCCCCTAGGGCGTCTACCGGTCCCTTTACCTTTTTGTTGGGTTACGRCGGCGACTACTCCACCCTCTAAAGTATCGCCGCCTGCCTCTGCACCTACTCCCTCCTGGAAGTTGCCGTCCAACTCGATGGTCGATCCATCGTTGTCGACAAACATGATGCGACCTTTCGCCTTCCAATTGGGAGGCAGTATCTTCTTTTTCCCTTCCGTAGTGGGTGCCTGTCCATGCCCTATCTTTGCTTCTAGGTCTAGGGCCACCTTGCTGAACGAAGGAAAGTTGTGCATATTAATGTTGGTCTCTTTTGCCAACTGGTTCCTGAGCGGCAGAGATAAGGTCCTCAGGTACGAAGTTAGTAGGACCTGGGGGTCATAGCGTACCCCTGGAACACAAATCAAACGCTCTACAGCGTCGGTGGCATCCCTTACTGACTTAAACTGCCGCGTGTGCAGTGTCARRATCGCRTCAGTGRCCTTTTGAGCCTCCTGCGGATCATGCCACCTGTCTTCCACCATTTCAGGAAGTCCTCCAATTTTTGAGAGGCTGCCCAAGAGTGGAAGTCATGACCGTACCCCTGGAGTTGCACTAACCCACTCAACCATCTCGCTGCACTACCCTCCAGGTAGGAAGCAGCCACAAGCACTTCTTCGTGTGGCAAGGTGAGTTTACACCTGACGTAGATTGGCACCGCCCCCAACCAAGTGTCGAGGTCTTCGCCTCTCTTGTCTCCCGTAAAAGGTTTGGGAGCGGCGATGGCCGTCTGTGGAACCCACTGACTTTGTCCCGGTCCCTGCACCAACCCGGGCTGTGGACCCGGCGATACAGGTTGTTGTGCTAGCTGCAGGGGCTGTGTGCCCTGAGGTTGCACTAACTACGAGACAGCAAGCTGCGTGGTGACTGCAACCTGTGACGGACTTGGAGTAAACACTGTCTGTACAGGAACCTGCAAACTACTCCCTGGTGTTACCCCTCTTGACAGAGGCATGCCCAAGGAAACGATAGCAACCGATGAAGGGGTACATATGGGGATACCCCAGTCACCGGTGGAATAGAAGGAGGAGCATATGGCACTGACCAGGCACCAGGCCTTGCTAGTGATGGTGCTGCCTGAGCACGCCCTGCCAACACGGCTAGGCTTTGTT